CCGAACAGGTAAGTGGTGAAACGTACTTGCCGAGAAGGGCAAGCCTGAGACTCAGCCTTTTACTCATCTTCTGAATGTCAGCAACATCCCATCAGGCTCATGAAGTGTGAATCTTTCTCCTTGGTAATGTGACCGAGACTGGGCAGACAGCGGTGGTTGTGATTGGGGCAGCCCCTGCTGTCCACATCACGTAACCTCAGCAGATGAAGCGTGTGGGATCTTCAGCGGATGGGATGGAGAGAAGTTCCAACACAGCCAGAAGGCTGGGATGGCTGCAGGAGGCGGCAAGAGGGGAGAGTGGTCAGGGGCGGGGTCAGAAGGGTAAGTGGCAGAGATCCTGTCCACACTGAAAGGACCTGGGCTTTTCCTCTGGGTTGAGTAGGGTTCTGAGCAGGAGAGGCTTAATCTGATTCACGTTTCAGAAAGATCATTGTGACCGCTAGATTGAGACTAAAATAAAGGTGCCCGTGGGCGGAAAGACAGGAATCCAGTTAGGCAACTGCCCAAGTCCAGGCGAGGGATGGCCATAAGCGATGGCTGTGTTCTAGATGTGTTTTCAAAGGAGGAACAGCAGGATTTTCTTGGGAGATTGGAGGCAGGGTGTAGAGAAAGGGAAGCTGGTGATGGCTGTAAGGTTTCTGTTCTGGGGAACCACAGAATTAGCATCGCCATTTGCTAGTGACCTTCTCTATGCGGAGACTGTGCTGGGTACAGGCTGAGCAGGAAAGGCCTGGGGCATGTCCTCAAGGTACTAGCAGTCCAGGGCAGGGGTGGAGAGGAACACAGTCAGACATCTCAGTAGGGAGTTAGTTACAGGACACTATGGAGGCACCAAGGGGGATGTGCAGAAAGGAAAGTGCCCAGCAGAGTTCTCAAGTTGGCGATGGGTGAGCAGAGTTACAAAGAATGGAGGGAGGGGTTATCTGGGTGGCTCAGTCGGTTGAGGATCTGACTTCTGATTTCTGCTCAGGTTATGATCTCACGGTCGTGAGATCGAGCCCCGCACTGGGCTCTGTGCTCATTGTGGAGAGTCTGCTTAGGACTCAAATTAAGAAATAAAATCTCAAAAAAATAAAAAATAAAAAAGAATGGAGGTAAATTCTCCAGCCAACAGGGAGGAGACCCTGAGGAAACAGAAAAGACAAGGGCACAAGGCAAGCGGAGTCATGAAGGGCAGGACTTCGGAGCTCGAGGATAGCTCTCGGGACTGGGGCGCTACGGACAGGGCAGTCGGGATTGAGCCATTTGTGGTTTATCCTGACAGGATCTGACCACACCCAAGAGAGCCTGAGAGCCAAAAGGGCCTCGAGGCTGGTGAACTACAGGCTGGACTGGAAGCTGTTGCAACACGGAGACACGAGCATGAGAGGACTGGAGAAGATACGCCAGGCCTGCAGGTCTGACTGGAGGTTGGGCATGAGAGAGATGGCGCAAACGTGCCCACCGGTTTCTGGCTGGGTGGTCACCGCAGCGGAAGCCCCAGGAGGAGGCTCGTGATTGAGAAGGAAGAGTTTCGTCCCAGCTGCCGAGCCTGGTGGCGAACACCCAGGAGGTGGCTGATCTCGAGCTGAAGGGAGAGCTCTAGGCTGGAGGAAGGAATCCTGGAGTTGCTGCTGCTCAAGGGCCTAGGCTCGAGGACGGAGGAGAAATCACAGACCGGCCCCTGGGGACAGTGACACTTCGGGAGCAAGAGGGGGGTCAGAGAAGGGGCACCCGTAAGTCGGAGAACCAGAGGTGCGCTGCCTGGTAAACAGTCCCGCTCCTTCTCTGCCTCCTTTCACCCCCCTCCCCCTGCTGCCCCGTCTCAGTTCCCCCAAAGGCCTGATTTCTACTTAGGCAGCTGTGTTGGAGCGGGGGAGGCTTCCAGGCCGGGCCGGGGGGGTTCCCCAGTGCGCCTGCAAGCGGGGCGATCTGATCCGAGGCAAGCGCGGGACTTCCGCCCGGAGTCCGGAGCCTAGACTCTCCCCCTTTTGGACTTGGACCAGGAGACACAGAGTCTGAGGAAGGGCTGGCAGCCATCCGGAGACTAACAAGGATGAGTCCCCAAAGAAGGAAAGAAATGAGGTTGCTGATGACATCGAGCTCCAGGATGCAGCGGTGCCGCTTTTCGGCTCGAATGTTATCAAAGTGGCAGGTGTCTGTCCCTGCCTAGCAGTGTCATTTCCTGACCCAGAGTGTGGTCTGTGATGTGGCGCTATATCCCCCTTGCATGAGAGCCTGTGAAGACTGGAGGACTTTTGTCAAGTGTCTGAGAGGGGTTAGACGAGCAGGCTGGGCGGGACGGACGGCGGGTTGCGCAGAACGCAGCGTGCAAGGAGCGGGAAAGCGGGCCGAGGCCCGATTGTTTCCTTCAAGGACGGAAGTAGGGCCGCCGGGCCGGGGAGCTCTGCTCGGCTTCACTCCGACCAAGTGGCACACAGGGAAGCAGGAAGCCGCGGGGACTCCGACGCTCCTGCTCAGGGGGTGGAACGGACCGGTTTCGCCGCGGGCCACCAGGCAGTGTCTCCCCGCTCTTGGCCGGCGGCATCCGTGATTCGGCGGCTCCTGCTGCTCTGGCAAGAACCGGCCCTGGGGTTTCCCGGTCAAGTGTGCGGAGACAGGCCCGTCAGCCCGTCTCCTGCAGCCCAGCTCCGCCGCAAAGCCCGGCCCGGAGGCCCGCCGGTGGGCTCGGCTTCCAGGGGGTACGGGGCGCGACCGCAGCGGGGGCATCGGAAGAGCACGTCTGTGGGGTGGAGAAGGGAGCAGCGCGGGCAAGGGAGCAGCGGGTCCGTGCGGCGGGCGGTGCGCCCGGGTGTGCCGCGAGGAACCCGCGGGCGCGTCCCTCCTGCGCGTGTTCGGGCAGCGCGCTTGGGGAGAAACCTCCCGGGGCTCAGTGTTCATGCTAATGGCTTACGGTTTGCGTGTTTCGCCTGCATCACATTTATAGGACGACGAAGACGAAATTTGGCTCCAGGTGTGAAGGGGGCGAGGGCGGCGCAAGCAGCTCGGGCTGCACGCGCGGGCGGAAGTTGGGGCCCTGGGGCTCGGGGCGGCGCGGGGTCTGGCTCAGCCGCCGCCGCCGCCACACGTTGGGGACCATGTGGGGACCGCCCGCTGCGGGCTGATGCCGCCGTGGCTAACGCTGCACAACGCCGCTGGCCGCTGCGCTCCAAAGCGGAGCCTAGAAACCGCGCCCGGTGCCGGGTCCCAGCGGGGTGCAGGCTCGCCTCCGCCACCTCCTGGGCCTCCTCCCCGCCCCAGGCTCGCCGCCTCCCGACACCGGCCTCCCTGAGCGCACCCTCCCTTCACTCAGGAGGCGAAGCCCGCCGGCGGCCTGCTGGCCCAGGCCTCACCCGGACTCCTTCTGCTGCCAAAGGAGGGAGCGACGCGGCTGAACGCAGGCGCTGGGGGACAAGGGAAACCCGAGGCGCAACTTGGAGCCTCGGTGAACGTGGCGTCCAGCAAAGACTCTGAGCTGGGCCCTGGCCCCGCTGAGCGACCAGGAGCGGAGTCTGTCCCTAGATTCTTGACCTGTGGCCCGAGCCTTAGAGCAGAAAATGAACAGATGTCACACGAAATCTAGCAGGACTTCACTCCATTAATCTGACCACGTATTCATTAGAAATTTCTATCAGTGTGGTCGTCTTTAGGACTTGGATTACCTGGAAAAGCTACAACAGCTGTTTGATTTAGAAAGTCTAATGAACTGAAACATTCTTGGTAGACTGTTAAACCAAACATTTTTCTGTTAAGCTTTTAAAAACTAAGAACCCTTAAGATTTTAGGGTCTGAAAGTGTACACCTTCAGCTTTAGTGGTTAAATTTTTGTAACAAGCTGAAAAATTATTCAGGGCTCCCTTATTTAAGAGTTACTTGGGCCATTTCAGACACCCATAAGGAGAAATTAAGATGAAGGAAAAGACAGGACTATCCGTTTGAGACATGAGAAAATACTAAGGAGATTCTTTTTGGCTCTACTAGTTTAAGATCTCACATTCTGCATTAGTGACTAATGAAAGGATAAAATCAAACGGAGTAACAGGAAATGACATATTACGAAACAGACATATAAAATTTAATCCCTTTGGTTTAAAATACATCTTCAATGATACAATTAAAAACAAGCGAGACAAAAATTTATTTCATAAAACAAAATATAAAATAGTTATGACCCGTGTCCCATGATATCTTATCTTAGAAAACCAGCAATTTAGTTCACATACTTCATTAGAATATTTTAATGAAAAAATGTAACCATCAATCCTACTTATACAAATGACCTATTCTAGCTCCCTGAACCGAGATCCCTGTGATTTTGTTATAAAATTACACTTTTTAGTACTTGATATATTTAAACATGTTTACAAAAAATGCTCCCCTGCCACAGTCACATGGTCTCATAAACTCATTAACGCTTCCTAGAATTGTTAGCGTACAAGACGATCAAAGCTTGAAGGCTCTGGAACACGGTAACACAGAAATCACTTCTTGCAAGAGGAAGACGAGGAAGGACTCCATGGCCGGTTGCATCACCTAGTACCCGACAATGCCACCCGTTTTGGAAGGACTGCGTGTCCACTCCCGCAGGTACCCACGATTGCTATGAGCCTGCGCAACGGAGCGGAGCTGCAGTAGTGTTTCCCCTACGCTTCATGGGCTACAACAGTGCAGAGATCCAAGTAACAACCCTCTCAAGAGCAAAGAGAATCCCTGCCGTTTGCGAAGGTTTTGCTATGCTCTGGGATGATCACTGTCTGGGAAAACACGCCAGAACATTTCAGTAAGTTCCGCTAAGCTCAGTACTCGATCTGCTTGGTATACACGACCGAAAATAACTTAACCTTTCATTTAGGCAAAGTCTTCAAGATAGACCTTGTTGCATCTCTTCACTCTATGTACAGACACCACGGTTATATATTATCTATTTGTATAAGACACGTATGTACACATTTACAGACACAGGCCTTCAAAAACGTATTGCACTTATATACAATGCGGCGTTAGCTTAACTGATTCACACGGTGACCCATTCCTTCGTTAAGAAAGGCAGTTGACACATTCAAGAAAGTTGCAAAGGAAGATTCAGTAACATGCCCTATCTGAGTAAACGTTTTCTGGAGGACAAGAGGCTGAGGGAGAAAGGGCGTGTCTTCGCCTCTTCGGATGCCACTGCCACCACCCTGAGGCAGTCAGAGCTATGCTGAGCAGGCAAGGGCACAAAATCCTTAAACCCAAGCCCATTGCCTTTTCTGGCTTGCACTAGTGAGCAGGCCCACTAACATTGAAGAGACAAGGTAGATAGCCCAATAGTTTTATAAATAATGGAACAGATATTCCAAAGGTTCCCAGAGAGTCTATTAAACCTTAGAACACAGTTTTCACTTTTAATCCTAAGTACCGATATCAGAATACTGATATCCGAAAATTCAAACATAATGGCGTATGGATTTCTGTCGTCTGGAAATGCCAAGGCGGTATGTTGAATGCGATCTACAAGCCAAATGTAGCGCCATCTCCTATTCGCAAGGAGTCCCTTCGGGTGACCTCCACCCTTACCCGCGGGGTACCTGCGGCGGGCCAAACAGTGAGGCCCACGTAACCTTCCTTGAACTCGCTGGGAGAGGTGGGCCAGCGTGCCCTTAGATCTCAGTGAGGGTGAGCCTGTACGACCCCCCGGCTTCTTCGATCTGCAGCTGGAAGGTGTCCTCATTGGAGTAATGCTTCACGATGTTGTCATCCATGTTCACCAGAATCCTGAAGAGGAGAAGCAAGACAGGTCTCCTCATTCCTGCCCCTTTGGAAGGCAGGCCCAGTCTCACGGGCAGCGCGCCCCATCCCAGCTGCGACACGGGAGGTACGTTATTTACAAAACCTCTCGCAGCCTCGATCCCCTCACCTATGAAGTGGAGGTAGTGTCAGGGCCTGTCTTGTAAGGCTGTTCGAGGACTACATGAGGGACCCCAGTAAAGCTCTCCGAATAGCATCCGGCCCAGGGTGAAACAAAGCGTACTAGCTTATCTCCTGCTATTACTTCAGCATGTAGGACTCCCTCGATAGACAGGAGCTCTTATAATGCTAGAATAAGTCTGCAGAAGCAGCACCTCACTGATCCAGCTTTAGAAAGCATATTAGTCAAATTAACCTATGGGATCTGAAGCCACAGCTGCCTGACCAGTTAACTTCCCTGGCAAGTTATCCTCAACATTTAACTGAACTACTAGGAAGTCTGACATTTCCCACTAGGCTCATCCACAAAATTCCAATCATGATTTGCTTTAGAATGAAGCCAAATGATTCTTATGTCATACTCTGCTTACCCATATCAAGTAGCAGAGTCACTTAAGTGGAACTAAAAATATTAATTTCGGGACCAGGGAGCAATGTTTTATGATTGAAAACACGGTCCAGGGCAGGAGAACACAGTAGAGGGAGCAAAGACTGAACCTGAACCAATGGCCTTGGCACTAACCTGCTACCTAAGCTTGGGCATCGCAGGCTCTCTGTCTCAGCCGCCAGGTCTATGATCTAATGAATGCCCAGCCCGGCTCAGAGGGTAACGTGAAAGTCAAGTACTACGCCAAGTGCCTGGTCCAGTGCCTGACTCATGCCGGGGGCAAAATGAACGGGGCCATGTCTGCTCTTACCCTGACTCAATCTCGTAACGTGCTCTGGGATGTGGAGCTGCTTCACTGGTACCAAGCGTGGGAGAAGAGCAAATAAAAATTTTACTTGGAAAAAAAAAAAAGTCCACAAAGATGTCTTAGAAAGGCAGATCAATTTAATGTGGATATTTTAAGAAAAATATATCCCTGTATTTCACATTCCTGTAACTTTTTCTAGACTGGGCACAAATGCATGTGAATTACACTAATGTTACAGAATATTAACATTATTTAGAAGTACTAGGGATGCCAGGTAACACTTACCCTTTTTTACATTTCTTGAATATCTTCCCAATCTTATCATGGGGCACATCATATTTGTCTGAGATCTAAAAGAACAAAGAAAAATAATTACAAAATGCTGATCTCGAGGCTCTAAAACACAAACTATAAATACTGTGGGACAGTCACTCAGTTTTCTGTCTTTCAAAAATGCACGTGCACAGCTGTACAGAAAATGCCTGCAGACCGTGGGGAGGGGGGTTACCTGCCTTTGGAGGAAGCGGTGGTCACTGGCCTGTCATCTCCCCCTAGTGTACTGATGGCTCTCTGTGGGTTATGTGGTCCTCTTTCTGGAACGTGACTACGCTCTAGAGCACTATTAGGTTTCCAGAAGGAAGTGCACAGCTGCTCAGTGCCGCTGTGCACCCCAGGGACCCACAGCTCCAGTCCGCGGTGCTCCTGTGACCCTGACGCAGCCACGGGGCCCCAACCTGATGACCTAAGCCCCACGGCTTTCAGTCGGGGTCCCGCTCTGCGGGTCACACCACCGCGCACGCTCTGCTCAAGCCCACGAAGGCCCTGCTCTGGGGTCCGACCCAGCGGCCTTGACTCGGCTCTGGCCCTCCGCCTCCCCAGCTCAGGAGACAGAAGCTCTGATTCCCTGCAGCGCGGGGCCATGGCAAGGACTCCGCGTGTCCAGCACAGAGCAGGGGTTCACTTCAGAATCAGAATCACGGGAAGGAAAACAACGCCTGAATGTCCCAGAGCCTAGGAGACACGTCAAGGTCCCTGATTACAAACCACGACTGCGCCTCTGCCTGTTCTACCGAGAGCCTCTCCGAGAGCAGCATAGATTCTCGCAAAGCCCACGAGGCTCCATGGTTAACCAGGAGGTCAATGTGGCCGTGGCCGCTGGGGTGTGGCCCTTGGGCCCTCCAGAGCCTCAGGCCTTCCACCCACTTCCATGATCTGTAAGGTGCCAACCGAGCAGTGTAATCAGGGTAGTGTCAAGTGTGCGGGTTTCCTGTCGGAGCACAGAGGCTGTCTTTAAGGAGAGAGGATGAATTAATCCAAGGATAAGCTGACTCCGTCTACACCAAATCTTTCTCTGGAATTGTGCAGGCCACCCCCAAACTGGGGCTACCATTGACCATCTGAAGAGCAAAGCTCAAAGCAGCCCTGAGAAAGGGGGCCCCGGAAGGACAACCTGCAGACCGCTTTCAAGCTAACAGAACACCCAGTTCAAACCCAATCTAAGCTCCCATCACCCAAACATCCACTTCTTTTTTGTATCACTGGGCCATACTTCCTCGCGTACTTATGAAGCATTATGTAGGAAACCCCAGGCCTGAGAGACACACACTGATGAATTCTTGATGGGCTCCGAGCACATTGTATTTGCACAGTTAAGACTCAACCTTTTTCACTTCCTTTCTCTCCAAATTAAGAGTCTGCATGGTTCTGGAGAAATAAGGAAAGGTTACCAGAAGACAAGGTAAGAAAGAGTAATGTAGGGGTGCCTGGGTGGCTCAGTGGGTTAAAGCCTCTGCCTTTGGCTCGGGTCATGATCCTGGGGTCCTGGGATCGAGCCCCACATTGGGCTCTCTGCTCAGCGGGGAGCCTGCTCCCTGCCCACCCCCCAACCTGCCTCTCTGTCTACTTGTGATCTCTGTTAAATAAATAAAAAAAAATCTTAAAAAAAAAAGAATAATGTAGGAAAAATCGCACAAAGCTGAAAAACAACAGAAAGCAGAGGCTGATGGTGGTACTGGCTTCATCAGGGGGAAGTAATGTGCTCAGAGATGCCTATGAGCCCAGGGACCCCGAGAGACCATGGCTCTCCCCGTCCACTGTTCGCTTGCCCTGCTTTATTTTTTGTCACTGCATTTATCAGTGCCTGGAAAATTACTTCTTAGTTTCCTGGCCTACTTTCTTGTCCACACCTTCCTCTCTGGACCTGAAGCTCCATTTGGCAACGTGTCACCTACTCTCATGACTCTGGCAGCTAAAACAGAACCTGGCGCCAAGCAGGCGCTTAGTAACACGTTAGTGGAATTCAGCACACCGTGGCTGTCAGGGGAGCTGGGGGAAACCCATTTCCAGTGGTGTGCATGCTCTGAGCTTGAAGATGCTTGTGATCTCTAGCGAGTTGATTAATATCAGGATACAGTGTTGACTCCTTGAACTGTATCCCGGGGCAAAGCTAAAATGGCTTCCTCCTCACGCCAACTCTTGCTGACGTCCCAGCAGGGCTGGCTGGGGTCAATTTGCTCAGTGCCGAGGTCTTAGTGGGAAGGATTATGGTTATCAGTGGCTACATGTCTAAATTTTCTCAAATAGGCTTTGGCTAAGGACTTGATATAAACTTGGTCATTCCCCAGGATCAGGAGTTTCAAAGGCAGACCCAGGAACCATTGTTTTTATGCAGGAAGTTTTTAAAGATTTCTATTTGCTTAAAAATAATTTTTGTGAGCTTCTAAATGGTTTGTTAAATGGCAGTCTTCCTTTAACCAAGTATATTAAAACTATTTCAGGGGTGCCTGGGGGCTCAGTCGGTTAAGCATCCAACTCTTGGTTTCGGCTCAGGTCATGATCTCAGGGTCCTGGAATCGAGCCCCATGTCGGGCTCTGCACTCAGCGGGGAGTCTGCTTGAGATTCTCTCTCTCCCTCTGCCCCTTCTACTTGTACTGGCTTTCTCTCTCTAAAATAAATAGAATCTTTAAAAAAAAAACAACAAAAAACCAACCTCCCCCCACCAACCACCCCCCCTCAATCTCATAGATCAGCACGAAAGCCATCAGTTTGGTTGACAAGACGTTACTCAGAAGTTACTTCTACCAACTAGTATGCTGGGTGCGGTGGCGTGAGGCCCAGTGGGGAAGACCCTGCAGACGACTGAGGGCCCCACGAGACGGGATGAAACACAGGCACAAGCCTCAGAGATTTCCGTAATAACAAGGAATCTGGGTGGTCTGATAAAATGTGTTTCAGCAGGATTCTACTTCAGTAGGTTTAACTTTCGCAGGAGGGTTTCCAAGTTCCTACTACTTACAGCCTCCATCAAGCCTTTCAGAGATGGAGTCTTAAGCATCAGGGCATCAAAGACTTCCTCTGACTCCTTGCGTACGTAGAGCAGCACTAATCCCCAGCCAGGAATAAGGAGGGGGAAAGAAAAAGGACACAGTTATTCGTATGAGCAAAATGACAGAACAGATCCTAGATACCGGTTAAACTAAAAAGAGACACAGCAAGAACAGTGAACATGAACCAATGTCCAATCCATCTGGAGGAACACAGCTTTCGGCTTCTTTTAACTCTCGGGTAAGTCCAAGCTCCAAGCCGAGGGCCGGTCTGATTCAAGAAAGTCAAGCTAGGGACGCCTGGGTGGCTCAGTTGGTTAAGCAGCTGCCTTCAGCTCAGGTTATGATCCCAGCATCCTGGGATCAAGTCCCACATCGGGCTCCTTGCTCGTCAGGGAACCTGCTTCTCCCTCTGCCTGCCATTCTGTCTGCCTGTGCTTGCTCTCTCTCCCTCTCTCTCTCTCTGACAAATAAATAAATAAAATCTTTAAAAAAAAAAAAAAAGAAAGTCAAGCTAGACAAGATTGGCCTGAGCACTTCGTGCTTTTGGCAGATGCAGAATCCCCTTCTCTCTGACAGCTCCCCCCAGGACTGCAAGCCGACGCACCTCTCTTTGGTTCTTCCAGCCGAGTCAGCTTAGCAGCAGGGGCGATCGAAAAATCCTCCTCTGATCCATACGGAGCCCTTTTCAAGTGAGAGCTGCAGGCAATCCGAAAGACGTGATTAGTGACTCCAACTTCTATGACTCGTGGAAACAAAAAGAGTTTTAGGGTGCACCACTGAAGTTCGGATTTAAAATGACCTTCGTTCTTTATCTGGTCCAGCTCCCTTAGTTCGTGGAGGAAAATGTGAGGCCCAAGGAGGGACCCTGACTGAACGAGCGCGGGCCGTCCAAGGGCAGAGCTGGGACTATACACTCAGGTCAGCTGCCGGACGCTCCGCACGGCTCGGACGCTAGAGCAAGGTGCTTCTCAGCAACAGAGAGCTGCTTTTCCGGAAGCATTTTATGGGGGAAGTAGGATTGGAGATAACACACACACACACGCACATATAAGGTGGCAACAAAGGAGAGAACATGTCAACAAAGGCGGGGAGCGCAGCCAGCAGAGCCAGGCTGGCTAGAATAGAAGGCTCTGTAGGAAGCAGGTCCTGACGGAGAGCCGGGACGCTAGCGGGAACACCTTGATTGTGGCCGTACGGAAATTTCAGACCCAAGGTGCAGGCTTTAGGAAATCTTTCAGTTTCATGAAATGAGAATGCTGTGATCAAAGTGTGTGGCAGAGACTGGAGGGGACTCCAGGACTCAGAAGCAAAAGAACCCGTTAGGGGACTCTGGGGAGAGCATAGCAGAAAATTCGAAAGGGTTGGAATACAGTAGTGTCAGTGCAAATAAAAAGAGGAAATAGACACCAGTGTGTTTGAAGAAATAAGTTAAGTCCTGGGGCTCAAGTTCTACGTTGTGAGGGGGCGAGCAAGAAAACAGCACAATAACTGAAAATGAAAATGAAGGAAGGGGGCTTGGTTTTGAGCGGAAGGATCACGTCAAGAATAGGGGCTGGGCCTTCAGCTACTCGGTCTGTCTTCATTTCCAGCACACACCCAGGCCTCCCGTGAAAGCACGTGAGGTATGTCTGAGCACACGAGGAGTCTGAGAGGAAATGGATGGCCTTCAAAGAACACGCTCCCTACTCAACACGGGTCTGAAAGGGGAGCCCCAAAGAGGGGACCGGACATGGTTGAGTGCTGAGCAGGGGGTGTCCCGGTGTGGGCAGTCAGGGCCTGAGTGGGCCACGGAGGGTAACCGCAAGTCAGGGGTAGTGACACCTCCACAGCAAGGAGCACACCCAGGGCCAGCTTCCTTCTTCGAAAGGGAACAGGGTTTCCTGGAGAAGAAGCTGACCCTCAGGCTGGGAAAGGGAAAGCACCAGTGCCTGGAAGACGCTGGGCGTGGGCGTGAGGGAGCACCCAGGGAGCTGGGGGGGCCCCATCGCCGGGGCTCAGGAGTAGCTGGAAGGACCAACGGACCTTCTAAGACAATTTGATCAAACTAGATGACAAATGATTTGCAACTTGTTGAATAGAGCCAGAAACTAGGAGTCCACACTGATAATAAAAAAGGAATGAAATTTCAGGAATGAAATATTCACCAAGCGACAAAACGCCTCCCCACTACAGACTTAACTACAAAAGGAGGACGGGTGCCCTCGCGGCGGCGAAGCCTGGCAGACACCACCTTGATCATGTAAAGCGAACCACACTATGCGGGGGGCGGGACCAAAACCGTGCTACCTGACGGGACACACGGGGAGCGCAGCGTTTGTCTACGACATTCCTGCCAAGACGGATAATTACCTAGTCTAATCATGACAGAACAACAGAGACCCAAACTAGAGGACCTTCTACAAAGCAACTGGCTTGTAATCTTCAAAAGTATTAGGTCGGGGGTACAGCTCAGTGGTAGAGCATTTGACTGCAAAAGTATTAGGTCAGGAAAGTCAAGGAGACACTGAGACTGTTCAGGACTGAAGGAGATTAAAGACACAACTACACACACAGTCTGAGTCTGCGCCAGATCTTCCTCTGCTGTAAGGACATTATGGAACAACCGACAAAACCTGAACGGAACGTCTTGTTACTATCCTGGCTCCGTTATGTGGGAGACTGTCCCCATCTGTAGGAAAAATACACAAGGTGTTTAGGAATGACAGGTCACGGAGTCTGCAGCTGACTCTCCCAACGGCTCAGGAAAAAATGAGGTCTTTGCATTGTACTTGTAATTTTTCTGTAAGTTTGAGATTGTTTAAAAATAAAAAGAATTTGTTAAAACAGAACAAAACATAACACTTACCCTTCACCCTCCAGTTCTTCTGGGGCAATGGGAAGGACCTAAGACCAAAAAAAAAAAAAAAAAAAAAAAAAGTTTTCTAGCATATACTCAAAATATTTCACACCATAAGTAACTTATTTCTAAAATGAAAATAATTTTGAATTTAGTCTAGTCCAAAATCCCTTAGCCTTATTTGTCAATAACCAGATTCTTCTGGGCATGAACTCCTCTAAAGCAGAGAATGGCCAACTAGGGCCCGCGAGCCAAGTGGGGCCCGATGCCTGTTCATAGAAATTTACTGGCACACAGACCTGCTCACTCCCGGGCATCTGACACTGTAGTGGCAGAGGTGAAGAGTCACAACAGACACCATGTGGCTCCAGAAGCCTACAGTATTTGCTCTCTGAGCCTTTACAGGAAAAGTTTGTCAACCCCTGCTTGCCCCAAAGCTTCTCATTAGAAACTAGATACATGGTTGGGGCATCTGGGTGGCTCCTGACATCAGCTAAGATCGTGATCTCTGAGGTACGTCTGAGCACATGGAAAGTTCGAGAGGCAGTGGAGAATGGCCTTCAGAGAAAAGGCTCCCTACGCAACCTGGGTCTGAAAGGGGAGCACCAAAGAGGAGACAGGACCCTCAACATGGTCAAGCACTGAGTAGCGGGTGTGCCGGCGTGGGTGGTCAGGGATGGAGCCTACGCAGGGCTCCACGCTTAGTGACGAGCCTGCTTGAGATTTGTGCTCCCTCTGCCCTCCCCCCACGATGCACTCACTCTCTCAAATAAATAAACCTTAAAGAAAAAAAAAAGAGAGAGAGAAAGATACATATTGGCAATACCCTCCCAATCCCCAAAACTTAAAAACTCATCGACCCGTATAAATCTGTGCACGAAGTGCATGGGAGACCACCTTCTCCATATTGTTTAGAGCTCTGCAGAGAAAGCAGGCCCCACGCTGTCCAAGCTGTTCTCTCTACTAAGCTTCTGCTCGAAGCAGGGCGTAGCCAGTTGTGAACTTTTATATTAACTGCCAAGATACGGCTGTCTATGTGCCAACTATGATTCAGTAACTGAAACAATGAGGAGAGCCTTCAGATGCTCTTTTTTTTTTTTTTGTTTTTTCTTTTTAAATCTTTTTAAAAAAATTTTTTAATTTATTTATCTACCAGAGAGAGAGAGAGAGAGGGAGAAAAAGAGCGAGCGTGCGAGAGCGCGCACACAAGCAGGGAGAGAGGCAGGCAGAGACAAAAAGAGAGAAGCAGGCTCCCTGCCGAGCTAGGAGCCTGACGCGGGACTCGATCCCAGGACCGTGGGATCACGACCTGAGCCAGAGGCAGCGGCTAATCCAACTGAGCCACCCAGGCGTCCCTCAGATGTTCTTTCTGCCATGAGGGCTACCTACCCTAAGTCTTCCTGTGCTGTTCCCTCCTGCCCAGAACCATGTAAGTTAAATGCACAAGATCATAGATCCGGACTCCAAACTATTACTATTCTAACAATTTTTTTTTCTTTTTTTTTTTAAAGAATTTATTTATTTATTTGACAGAGAGAGATCACAAGTAGATGGAGAGGCAGGCAGAGAGAGAGAGAGAGAGGGAAGCAGGCTCCCTGCTGAGCAGAGAGCCCGATGTGGGACTCGATCCCAGGACCCTGAGATCATGACCTGAGCCGAAGGCAGCGGCTTAACCCACTGAGCCACCCAGGCGCCCTATTCTAACAATTTTAAAATAAACTAAGACATAAACACACAGACACGAACAGAGTGAGGTTCACAGGTTTGGTACTTCATTCCTGTCAACAAGGCTTACACCCACCTTATTGTAAGGACAGCATATCACCCAACAAAATATTCCAGAAGGCTGGCCCATAATAACACTGGTCAAACCTCTCTAAACTGGCTTCTGTTTACCAGGAATGCCCAAGACCTTCTCTCGCGGCCGCCCCGGGATCCTGGTTACCTACGTGAGTGCCCCGCTGAAGGTTGGCAAAGTGCACGTCGGGAATGAAGAGGACAGGCTGGGTGTCCAGATCAATGAAGGGCTTGAAAACTGTGATATCCATCCGTTTATGAGAGGGAAGCAGTGGCACTTTAACATCGGAAACTGGGGGGGAAAAAAAAAAAGACGACCGCCTGGTCAACCACTTTGGTACCCATACTGGACGCAGGCCACAGAGCATTCCCCTCCAATGTAAGGGCCTTAAACGGCAGCGCTCTAGAAGGAACAGCTCACGTTGCCTGAGCCGAGAGGAAAAGCACAGCCCACGTGAATACGTAAGTTGGTTACATTTGTACTAAAATCAACCAAACATCTTAGCAAAATGAGAAGAGAAAAGGCTATTTTTAAACGTACACAGGAAATCTGGAACAGAGGCAAAGCATGTTTACTTTTTGTCTGAAAGGCTAAGACTTACAACCATACAAACATAATTCAGAAGTCATTCATCTGAGCTGCCCTGACTCAGTGGTTCACATTCTGACAGCAATGCACTGTTCACCTTGAGAACATAACTTTGTAGCTCCAACTTCTCCTCCCAACTTACCCTCGGAGAGGCTCAGCAGGAGGGTCACGGACTAGGTTTTTTATTTATTAAGGTATGGACTCCCTCTTCCCCTGCCATCTGCCCTGCAGCCCTCGGAGGGGAGCTCTCCCTCGGGTGAGCTGGGAGCCTGCACTTCGATGCTGGCCCAGGAGCCTACCGCACGGTGCCGCAGGGCACACGTCTGCCCAGGGAGGCCCCGTTTGGAGCCCGATGCTCGCAGCCCACGCATCGCGCTGGAAACGCTCCTGCCACAGAGCATCCTCCTCCCCCACCCCCCCCACCCCCCCACCCCCGCCCCGGAGCAGACAGATACTGGATTTTGTGAATATGAATACTGGTCACATTTAAAAAAAAAGAATTAATCAAATAAATAAATAAATAAATAAATAAATAAGGAAAGAAAGAAAGCTTTCCCGGTGAAATGTCCAAACAGGAGCCCTACAGATTCTGAAACGTTAGAAAACCACGCATTTACATTTAGAAGTAAGACCTCCTGAATTCTCAAGAGCATTATTATGATTCTTACAAGTCTAGACAAGCCCCGGTGTTATCACCAGCTATCCAGACAGAAGGTGTGTTATCTTTCAGGGCCAGAATCAGTAACCAGAACTAAAGCTAAGGGCCAAAATATGTGAACTCTGGAAAAACTCAAGGATCTTTTTCTGTCCTTCCCCCTAGGAAAGGACTTCGCTCAGCCATTCATCTGATGGCGTAACCGGGAAAGAAGTTGTGCTACCACTGCACGACAGTGAGTGGCCACTACTGTGTCTTGTGCTTGATACAGTAAACACAGATTCAGTCACTATTCTGAATGGAAAAGATCTGAAACACATGGCGGAAACATTTCTACTTACAGGCATTCAACTGGGAGCTGGGGTCAGTACACTTGCCTTTTCTTTTGCTTTGTTTTCGTTCTTCATCCCTGATTTTCCTTTCAGCTCCCTATAGGTCAAGAGAAGACAAGGCACGATTCTGTTTAATTGATCCTCTTTAAAATATTTAATTCTGGGGCGCCTGGGTGGCTCAGTGGGTTAAGCCCCTGCCTTCGGCTCAGGTCATGATCTCAGGGTCCTGGGATCGAGTCCCACATCGGGCTCTCTGCTCAGCAGGGAGCCTGCTTCCCTCTCTCTCTGCCTGCCTCTCTGTCTACTTGTGATCTCTGTCAAATAAATAAATAAATAAAATCTTTAAAAAAAAATTTAATTCTGGGGTGCCTGGGTGGCTCAGTGGGTTAAAGCCTCTGCCTTCAGCTCAGGTCATGATCCCAGAGTCCTGGGATCCAGCCCCACATTGGGCTCTCTGCTTAGCAGGGAGCCTGTTTCCTCCTTTCTCTCTGCCTGCCTCTCTGCCTACTTGTGATCTCTGTCTGTCAAATAAATAAATAAAATCTTTAAAAAAAAATATTTAATTCTTTTCTGAGGAATGGGAAAAAAATATCTCCTTTCTGGAGAAAAACTCCATTAATTATTATATTTATGGAGCTTATCATAGTAGCTTTCTCTAAAAAGCCTATTTTTCCCCATTTTTTTAAAGAGAAGGAGGAAAAGGAGCAGAGGGAGCGGGGGAGAGAGAGAATCTGAAGCAGGCTCCATGCCCAGGGTGCAGCCAGACACGGGGCTCAATCTCACAACCCTGAGATCATGCCCTGAGCCCAAATCAGGAGTCCAGTGTTCAGCTGATTGAGCCACCCAGGTGCCCCTAGAAGGCCCGTTCTTAAAACTGTTTAACTATGTGAAATCATGGGGAAATACCATTTACTTAAAAAACAAATACAGCACAATTCCCCTCAACAATGGATGCGGCCAGGCTAAATGAAAAGCTGAAGATATCTGCTCATGTACTACGCGGCCTTCAAAAACCCAAGTGACTACTGCCATTGTCTGATAGACAAGCTGGCCCTGCTGTGACTGTGCTTTCCCAGGTGGGCAATGTTATCATTGGAAATGGGATTCTCTCCAAGGACTTGGCATCAAGCAAGCGACAGATACGACCAACTAAAACTCCCAAAAGCGAAGATTTAAGTAGAAATCTGCATAATCACATAAAAGAGAAAAAGTGTACTCCCGATCCAATAGAGAGGACATATACACAATATACATCAACTGTACAGAGAATGGCAGTGTCGTAGTATTTACAAAACATGACCTAAAATTAAACAAGTATAGTAAAAACCTAACTATTAATTAATCATTTTGCTTCACCTGTTAGCATTTATTTCTGGGTGGTACAGTTTTCTTCACAAAGTCACCCAGTGAAATCTCCACAAGAAGCTTATTTTTCTGCAAATAAACTCCCTGGTAGCAAAGATAGTCAATGAAAATCATCCCACAGACCCTGACACTATTATATAATGAAACCACATTTTACCAAACAGAATACAAACCACCTTCTGCCCCTTCCAGAAGGTGTTAAGACACTCACATACCAGTAAACACACAATAAAAATCCCTACGCAATGCTGACACAAACCCCACCTCCCTGACACAGAAAAACAGGTCAATATCCCCGACCTCCTACCTGTTACCATACAGTTGGTCTGTGTCTCTCTCAGTTCTTTCCAAGAGTCTAACAATAGCTTCACTCTGATGATAAATTACACTCTCCAAAAAGTAGTTTTAAAAAATAAGACATTTCATGGGGCGCCTGGGTGGCTCAGTGGGTTAAGCCTCTGCCTTTCAGCTCAGGTCATGATCTCAGGGTCCTGGGATCGAGCCCCTCATCGGGCTCTCTGCTCAGCAGGGAGCCTGCTTCTCCCTCTCTCTGCCTGTCTCTCTGCCTACTTGTGATCTTCCCCCCCCCGCCCCCCGGTCAAATAAATAAATAAAATCTTTTGTTTTTGTTTTTTTTTTTTAAAGACATTTCCCTCCGTATTTATTGGCTCCATCTATAAAGAATAAGGGACTTGTGCTTCCACTCAAGATGGGACTATCACAGACAGACTTACCCCCACCCTGAAACAACCTAAACAAACAAACAAAAAAGATGCACAAAACACGGATTGTTAAGGCCAGAGCCACCAAGCAACAAAGAACAGGGATCTGTGAGAGAAAAGAAACAAACAAGATGAGCCCTCCAGGGGCTAACTGCCTTCCCAGTCCCCAGGCTGTGGCATAGGGAGGGACATCCAGAGGTCTGCTCCATCCAGGTTCCCTGGGTCAAGAGAGAGAGTTGAAAATCCAGAGAGAGATCAAGGAAGCAGGACAAAGTAGCAATGGGGAGTTACATGAGAAAAAACCCCAGAGGTCTCCGGAGGGTCCCCTCAGGTCGTCAGTCCAGTACTCAGAGAGAAGCAGGTTTAAGGAAGGTACCCAAGGTTGGGGGAAAAGCCCTCAGAAAAAACTAGAGAACAGTGTCTGAAACTCAGGTAACACAGTGCCTCTTCCCACAAGTGAGACTGGAGAAGCTGAAAATCCACAGGGTGGTTGGTAGGACAGTCAGGAAACCTGAGCTCAGCTGCAGAGAATGAGCAGCTGACACTGAGCCACTCCAGACTCCCCTATCAAAACTGGAAAAGCAAGACCTGAAAGGATCAAAATGTTTCCAGGTAACTCCACCAGCTCTCAGGACAGAGTTCATGAGGAGTCCGAAGATGACAAAGCCCTCCAGTGTCAGACAGCGTCGCACTCACATGGCTAGTAGCCCGTGAGACGCCAGGCAGGTAAAGCAGCAGGAGCACATAACTTAGGAGGAGGCTGTCAAACACGGACACCAGCCCAGACACCACACAGAATTCAGGCAAGGACATCAGCGTGGCTGTTGTAACTACATTCCACGTGTTCAAAAAGTTAGTGAAAAACACACATATTGAGACCAGAAAGATGTAAAACAGATCCAAATCGATCTCCCAGAGACAAAAACATCTGAGATGGAAAATACACTGCATGGGATCATTGGCAGTGTAGACAGGGCAAAGGAAATACTGAAGAACTTTAGACATTAACAACAGAAAGTATCCAAACTGAAACACGAAGAGAAAAGGCAATCCTAGAGACTGAACAGCACCGGGGAGCTGTGGGACTGCAAGCTCGTGTGTGTACGTGTACAACGGGCATTCCCAGAGGAGGATGAAAGAGTGTGTTTCAAGAAACAAAGCCTGAGGGGCGCCTGGGGGGCTCAGTGGGTTAAGCCTCTGCTTTCGGCTCAGGTCGTGATCTCAGGGTCCTGGGATCGAGCCCCACATCGGGGTGCTCTGCTCAGCAGGGAGCCTGCTTTCCTCTCTCTCTCTCTCTCTCTCTGCCTGCCTCTCTGCCTGCTTGTGATCTGTGTCTGTCAAATAAATAAATAAAATCTTAAAAAAAAAAAAGCCTGAAAAATGTTCCAGTAGGATGAAAACTATAAACCCACAGATCTAAGCAGCTCAACAAACTCTAAATATAAGCAATGTAACAAGAAATATCAAATTGCTCAAAATCAGTAAAAAGAGAAAATCTAAAGAGAGTCAGAGAAAAATAGATACATTAGGTACAGAAGAACAAAGATAATGACGATGGCAGATACTTCATTAGACATGGAAGTGCGGGGCACCTGGCTGGCCCAGCCAACTCTTGATTTCAGCTCAGGTCATGACCTCAGGGTCATGAGATCAAGCCCCACAGCAGGCGCCCCGCTCAGAGGGGAATCTGCTTGAGATTCTCTCTCTCCCTCTCTCTGCCCCTTCCCCCACTCAGGCACTCTTTCTATAAACAAAAAAATAAATGTAAGGCTGACAACAGCAGAGTCATGTCTTTCAAGCATCGAAGGAAAAAGCGTCAACCAGAATTTTATACCCAGCAAAAAGATTTTTCAAAATCAGAGGTAAAATCCTTTCCAGACATATAAAAGCTAAAAGCATTCATCAGCAGTAGACTCTGCAAGAAATGTTAAAGTCCTGTGACATTACAGAGAGCCATTTAAACTTGTGCTACTTCACTCTCTGTCTCCACAACTAAAGAGGCTGTTCTTGGGCCGTCACAGCAGGTGGTGACTGAAAGTTAATCTCTCTGATCCTAATTACAGCCACAGTGAGTATGACTCTGCTGAAGAAAACAATCTATGGGAAATAAAGGCCAATGACATGTCTCTAAGGATGAACCCCAAATATATATACACACACACACGCACACACACACACACACACACGCTCATAGAAAGAGAAGCTGCCAAATTTCCACTGGTCGGAGATCCAACTCCTGTTCTCGTTTTCTCGAAAACATGTTAAATTGCTGCTGCGTCTGCCATAGGAGAAAGTTCCATTTACCAAACCCGTTGAGCAGTTCGTAATAACGTACTAAAAAAAAACCTTCTCAGGAAAGAAAAACCATGTAAGTGCCTCTGAAGGATACCAAGAGATGTCTTATTTCTGGTTTCCTACTGTGGATGTGGATCAGACTGATAAGATGTGAGAGTTTTAAGAACGAGCAGAGGAAAATGAATGGACAGGCACCAAACAACACGCGAGTCCTAGCTCAGGAAGGAGAGCATCAAGGAGGGAGGTGGGATAGTCTGCAGAGAGGAGGTAGCACCAGACAACCCAGAAGAGCAGAAGCAATCCCAACTGTAAGGGACGAGAGAAGCTACAACAAGATGCACGAGAATGAGGAGCGGGTGTGAGGTCGTGCGGGAGTTTCATGCGGCTGAAAGATTCAAGGACTTTGACAGTTAATTACACACAGCGATACATAATATTTTCTTCCCATACCGGGTTTGATATCAACCCCTAATAGTTCTGAGATTAAAACGTCAGGATGGAAACTGTGTGTAAGTTCACCCCCCACGCCCCCCTAGGCACCTCTCGACTGGTTAGCGCTCACGCCACCGCTGTGTGCTGTCAGGGCGCCACGGGGAAAGCTGACCAACAGTTTTCACCCCTGAGCAGATCTCTGCTTCCACAAAAGGGCAGAATAGGTCAGCAATATTTTCAGGGGCCTTACAAAGAAAGCCCAGCCTATGAAGGCTGAGGGTGTGTGGGCACCTAGACAGGCCACACAAAGCACGGCCAGGTGCAGATGCCTAGTTTCTAACCACGACTTTGCGTGACCTCCTCTCACCGCGGTACAGAGCTTACACACATGTAAGGAGAAGACAGTGGCTGGCCTGCACAGTGGACACGCTATGCCAGACCGCGGCTAACATGCTGCTCTCACACGAGATTGGGACGAACAGGTGAGGAGGCAAGCAGCACCCCCGGAAGATGAAATCGTGTGTCGTCCCAGACCACACTCAGTTTTGCAACTCCGAAGAGAAGGCTTTCTGCTTCAGAGTATACATTAGCGCACACTCACACAATAAAAAGAAGTGGTTTCTAGATTCTGTACAACCACTGATTAATAAAATAACTTTAGACAATCATGAAACTTTCCCTGTGCTTCATTTTCTAAATCAGCTACCAATACGGAAGCTTCCCTCAAAAAATCTTAATATTAAAAAGAATTTCATGGGGCGCCTGGGTGGCTCAGTGGGTTAAAGCCTCTGCCTTCGGCTCAGGTCATGATCTCAGGGTCCTGAGATCGAGCCCCACATCGGACTCTCTGCTCAGCAGGGAGCCTGCTTCCTCCTCTCTCTCTGCCTGCTTCTCTGCCTACTTGTGATCTCTGTCTGTCAAATAAATAAATAAATAAATGTTAAAAAAAATTTTTCATTTAAGATTGTGACTCATTACTGTTCCTTCTCTGCAAAACTGCTTGTACAGCTTTTGCCATCTGATGCCGAAAACTCCAGTTCATGCTAACGCGTACTGACATCATTCGACACAGCCGAGATTCTGAGTGGGTCCATGCACCAGGATCAGCGCACAGACGGTTACAGCCCCAGGAGAGATACATCAGAAACACAGTAAGCACTGGGCTAACAATTAGAATGATCTTGTGTCTACTAAGTCAAGTAATAAAAAATTGGGGCTTATAGATTTTATGACTTTGGACACCTCTCTAGGTTTTCTTCTGGCTAATAAGAGGAATGTGGTGTGAAGGAGAGAACTCTGGCTCAGGATCCAAAATGCCTGTTGTACGCCTGATGTGACTTGGCATTTGTAAAAACGCAGAGGATGTGGGAAGTAACAGCCGCTGGGAGATGTCTGTACCCAAATCCTCAAAACCTGGGATGACGTGAGCTAACACAGCAAACGAGACCTAATGTTGCTAATCAGCTGGCATTCCGATAGGACAAGTGTCCGAGATCATGTGTGTGAGCCCAGGATAATGGAAGGGTCCCTAAAAGCCAAAGAGCCAGACGAGGACACGTGGCACTGGCAGCACTGTCTGAGGGATGTGATGTGAGGCTCCTGGCTTTGAAGGTGGAAGAGGCCATAAGCCAAAGAATGTCAGTGCCCCGAGGAGGCAGAAAAGCAGATAAACAGATTCTCCCCCAGAGACGCCAGAAAGAGATGTGGCCTTCTAGCAGCAAGATTTTAGGCCAGCGAGACCTCAGACTTCTGAGCTATAGAACCATGAAGTAATAAAAGGGTGTTGTTTGAGCCACTTAGTTTATGGTAATTTGTTAATAGCAACAATAGAAAAATAATACAGCCTAGCACATAACCAGGCACATGGTACTCAATACATGTTACTGAATTTGGGTGTTTGAGAAAGTTCTCTGAACTCAGGCTGCTCCAATGAGGCCACATGCTGTGTTCTGGTCCCCAGTGTAAAAATCAGGACAGCAGACCTCTGACAGCAAATACACTTTCAGTTTTCTAGTACCTTCTAAAAATCTCAATAACAGAGAGGGTTGTTGCTGCTGCTGTCGTCGAACAGGACAAAAAGAAAAGACTGGCAAAAAATATGGTCCAACATTTCCTGAGTGGGGAAGGTCAAAGTCGCCTTCAATCTTAGGTCAGTGGAGCAATCGCTTCTCCAGGGCCGCTGCCGAGTTCCTGAGGAGAACACAGTCTCCAGCCTTCAAGACACCGGGGGCTACCCGCTCTCTCCGGAGTTCACCCAGCTGGGCCCCTGGCGCTGCACCTGGCCAAAGTGACTGTTTCCTCCCCAGATAAAAGAAATGATGTTGAACTCATTAGGCTTATGCTTTCTGCTCTTGCCTACCTGCCACCCTAGAGGAGACTCTGAGTCTCACCTTCTGCTTAGTGAGCTGGCTGACGACTCGTCGAAGGGCGGGAAGCTGGTTAAAGGACAGCCCTTCACAGCCATCCACACGGAGCCCTCAGACACAAGGCCCCAGAGCTCCAACACTGCAGCCCACAAGTCCCAGGGAGCTGAGGGGATGCCGAGGACTGAGCACAGTACGTGCTCTCATATTATTATTAATACATTTATACCAAACTGAAATAGTGCAAAGACCCTGGTTATTCTCCGTGAGGAAGAGTATGGCTGTCACATGCTTTACTCTCACTGTCCCTCCCCAATCTGACAGTCTTACCTTGTCACAGAAGACTTTGATCTGGCAGTATGCCCGATGCACAGGCTTGTTGCTACGGTTGTTATAACTATAGGTGTCAATTTGAATATTAAGAGGCAACCCCTTCACACCTTTCTGAGAAGAGAAATCTGTGCTTAAGCAGTTCACAGAGATGAAAACCTGCAAAGGGAAAAGAAGGTACCATAAGCAATAGGCACCAACAGTCAACCTTAGTACAACTCGTAAAAATATCAACATTACTGAAATTTCTCAAATATGTTCTAAAGGAGAACTCAGCTTCTCACTTAAAGGAAACTTTTTTTTTTTAAATAAAGGGATTATTTTAAAACTACTTCTGGACATAGGAATGGCAGACTTTATTTGAAGGGAAAAAAACAGACAGCAGCTTTGAACCACTGTCCATCTTCCCTTCCAAAATATTTACTTAGCATCAGACTGTGGAAGAATCTGCTTGTCTTCCTTGATGTCATTTTTACCAATGCTATCAACAGCACAGAGATCTAGAGATATTTTCCAGCTTGGTACAAACTCTGGGACTCTGCCTGCATTTCTGTCTACACTACCTCTTAGGATAACAGCAGTGCCTGATGCATGTCCCAATATTCCAGAATTTATGAAATCGGTGAGTCACATTATTAAAGTGGCACTGGAGGTTGTTACGAGAAACGCAGGTGAATCTTAGTACGGCAAAAAGCATGTTTCATTTCCCCCTTTTTTGTGGTTATGGATTTTAACCTCTCCACACAAGGTCACAATGCACGGAGATCCCTTTCAACCATTTATTTCCAGAATTTATTTCTGATGCGTGAGCACCACACAGTGGATAGTATTGGAATTACAGTTTTAAGTATCTGTGCCTTTCAGAGACCGGAGACCCTTATGCTCCTCCATTCCTTCCAGTCCAGGGGACAACAGCACATTAGCTCCAACAACCAAGGGCAGATTTACTACAAGTAGTGTGGGGTGCCACCGGCTGAACCAAGACCCAGACAGGGAGAAGTTTAAGCCAGAAAATCTGGGATGGGGGATCCTCTAAGAATGTAAAGAGAAGGGAGTGCACAGGGTAAGGAGAAAGAAAATTATAACCATAATGACAAAGAATGTTCTCTTTAGAAGGTTTGCAAATCCTGAAACACAGGGGTTTTATTCTTGCCCTCATCTATCCACTATTTCCAAGAAGGAAAAGACCAAAACACCCTACAATGATGGAGAACATGTCCACATTAACATCCTGTCCCTCCATTAGCTCTCCACTCCGGCCGGTCTATTCGTAGCCCCTAGAACACACCTTAATGCTCACCCCGCCTCACATCTTTGTCCTTGTCCTTCTTCCTCCTCCTGCGTCCCTCCTGTCTCAGTCTAAGTCAACTCCAGAGCTCCTCTCTGCCCTCCACATCTGCAGAGCACCAGCTCCAGCGCCATCTCCACAGAGGTCCCCCTTCACCCTGACATGTGTTGTGGAGACCACGGCAGTGGGCCCCAGAGGTTTCCAGACCTGTACAGGGCACCTGCTTTAAAGAGAGGATCTCACTGCACAACCTTGAGAGACCGTGTTAATCCTTTACAGGGGAGGCCCAGAGATTTTTTTTTTTAAAACTAACCCCAAGGTAGAAAAAAGCAAAGGGCTGGGGGCGCCTGGGTGGCTCAATCGTTAAGCATCTGCCTTCGGCTCAATTCATGATCCCAGAGTCCTGGGAATGAGTCTCGCATCAGGCTCCCTGCTCGTGGGAAGCCTGCTTCTCCCACTCCCCGTGCTTCTGTTCCCTCTTTCGCTATGTCTTTTTCTGTTAAATAAATAAATAAATAAATAAAATCTTAAAAAAAAAAAAAAAAAAAAAGGCAAGCAAGCAAGCAAAGGGCTAGAATTATATCCAGAACTACCCCCCACCCCTTTATACCTATACTGTAACCTGTCTTTCCCAAATCAACTTCTTACCCTAATCACTTTGCTCTACTACCAGGAATGGTTTGCCGTCTGACATGCGTTATGCTTTCTTTCCATGGCTAGACCACAAATACTTTGAGGCCAGGCCCATATTCTCCATGTGACAGCTTTCTCAACACTTACTTTTAGCCCCCGGCCGGGTCTCAGGTTGCCTTCTCTAGCCCACTGTTTTTCTTTCCAGTTAACCCATTTTCAGCAAATAAACAAAACATTTTTGTTTTAAAAAATACCTGAATCTAGATATATAGGAAAAAGTGGTATGTATGAATTTCAAATCCATTACAGAAACTTTGTGCTTTGACTTTATGTCTTTTCCTATACTACTGACCCTGGAACAACGTGGGGGTTGGGGTACCAACTGCCGGCCCCCCACCAAGAGTCAAAAATCCACATATAACTTTCAATTCTCCCAGAACTTAACTACTAACAGCCTACTGTTGACCAGAAGCCTTCCCAATAACACAATTTACGTGTATTTTGCATGTTACACACATTAGATACTATATTCTTACAATTTTTTTTCTTAACTTTTTTGGTTATCTCTAGGCTATGTGGTTCATCTGTGAGTTTTTTTCAAATTGTTGCAAATCTCAAAAAAAATTTCCAATATATTTATTGGAAAAAAGTGACATATAAGGGGATCTCTGCAGTTCAAGCCCATATTGTTCACTAGTCAACGGAAGGCTGTTAGAAACACTTCATATACAATTTACAAATCTGAGTTAAGGAGATCGGTTATGAAACAGACAAAAGACGGAACACACGAAAGACAGAAAGACAGTAAGTAGGCCACGCGAACTGAGCGCATCAAGTAACCAAATCACCATATTTTCCAGTTTACAATCAAGTGGGAAATCTCAATTTTTCTCTATCATTCTAGGCTCCATGGCTCAATTTAGGACTCAAAACCAGCAGCCTGGGAAAGTTACACTTAACCCTCAACAATTCCAGGAAGTCTCTCACCCAAAGTGATATTCCATTTACAAGAGGATTTCACGGTAATCCAACCTAAAGCCCAACCTCCCCTTGCTTCCCAGCGTCAAGTTTCTATTCAAAGCAGAAATATGCAGGAAGCAAACCCCAGGATCAGTATAAATGTGGAGTCTTCAGGGAGATGCTCCCCTGTTACTAAGGATGACTTACAATCACTTTCTTACACACATTCTTGTCCTATTTTTAAAATCGATTCTTTCCAAACCCAGCATTATTTCTACATGCAACAAAGAAAGCTTACAGCATCCCTAACCCAGTATTAAAAGAGCACCACCTTGTCTAGATAAACGCATACACCCACCAGGAAACAGTGAGCAAGAGGTAAGCGCACCAGGCCCGGGACGCGGGGTACGAGGCGGAGAGCGGCCGCAGACCTCTGGGAAGGAAGCCAGGGCGGCGCCCACGAAGCCTCTCGGAGCAGGACAGTCATGCGTACGCGCTGCTGCCAGTGAAGGGGACACACCTGCTACCTTTAAGCCTCAACCGCAGACTAGCAAGAGCGCAAGATGCCTTAGGTGTCAAGAGGAAAGGCTGTGGCCTGCGAATGGAAACGTGGGAGCTCCAGCCCCCTCGCTACCGAGTGCTGGGAGCGCGGCCAGGGTCGTCGCCTGTCCGACGCAGGTGTGAGTCTGATGATGTCCAGATCACTCCTACCTCCCGAGTCCTAGGACTATATTTATACTGAATGATTATGAATCCTTTATCCCTAACTCTGTATTTACTAGTGACAGTAATTTTGTGTCATACATTTATCAATTTTTTTTTAACAAATCATATTATTTTAAAAGAACCATGTAAGGGTGCCATTTCAGGTAATGACATGAAGTACGCGTCTAGAGTTAAGGACCTCGTAAAGCAGAGCCTCACACGCCATGGCGCCGGGAGCCCCGGCGCTGCCAGGGCTCTCGGGGGCTTCACAGCCTGACTCGGTCAGAATCACCCGGAGGACGTGGCCCTTACCGGAGACAGTAAAGCCCCATCTAGAGGTTCTGCTCTCACTGGCCTGGGGGGGTTGGTGGGGAGGGAAGGTTCCAGACACAAGGCCATTTAAAGCAATAGCCAAGGGCTATTGCTTTAAAAAATTTTACCACAACAGTTAATACTGCTCCCCAGGTAATCCAGTGACCAGTGAGGATAAAAGCCACTGCTATCAGGTGATAAAGTTTCTCTACACTTACACTTTGATCCACCAAAGGTCTCCTTTGGCTCCCAGAGTTCGAGATGATTAAAACAAGCCCCAACATACGGTTTCCTTTCTTTAAGAAGTTCAGAGATTCTATGTGTATGTATAGGTTCCCCATCAAGTTTGCTCACTAGAAAAAATTTTAAGCCCCATCGAACAATCACATTCATTAAAATTGTGTAAGCCCCATCGAACAATCATATCCATCCAAACAGCGGAAAGGTAAAGGTCAGAGCACCTGCGCAGCCTCACCACTCAGTAAGGTCACGCACACCCTCAAGAACTCACAGTTCATAAAAAGAGTGACCAGAAAAAAGGCCTATTAAAAATCTATCAAATGATGCCTCTGTTTCTTCCTCCAGAACATGCGGTTTTCGCAGGGGTTGACGTGGCTGATGAACCGCATGTTCGGGTGACCCTCGGTGTCCCTGAGGGGCAGAGCCCTGGAGACAGAACACTCGGTCAGCCCTGTTTCTCAGGCCTGGTGCGCATCACACGCTTAACACGTGTGTTATTCACCAAAGAAGGAAAATGCAGAGGGAGCAGGGCGTGAACACGGCTGAGAGGAAGCATGCCCCAGATGCGTGTGACAGCTGTCACGTATTTCTCTCAACCAGGAGACGGCAGACTTCTTCCGTAACAGGATCCAATGGTGTTTGAGTCTTCGTGGATGACATGCAACAGCTAAACGCCACAGTAACAGAGCCGAAGCAGCCACGGACAATACGTGGGCCAGTGGATGTGGTAGTATTTCCGTGAAACTTGACTTACACTGACAGGCGCTGGCCAGCCAGGGTTTGCAGAGAGCTGCGGTTTGCTGAGCCCTGATCTGAACAACCCCTTCTCTAAGTGCTCAAACAATAAACTTACCCTTACATCATCACAGTGTAATCAAGAGCGAGGAAGTATTACTTCCCTTTTTGTAATTCAACATTTCCACTTTCCACATAAGTGACTTCCCAAGAAGCACCTCTCGCTAACGTGTCATTAACGTGGGGAGCCATACGCTCTATCAACACGACCCACACTCGCAGAGGG